TAGAGATCGGCCCAGATGTCCCCCAGGTAGCCCTACACAGGGACAGCAGCAGAAGCTGGTGGAAAGCCCACTGAAGGAAGGCAGCAACCTGCCCTGCTGGCCTGGACCCACATGACCAGCTGCAGGAGGTAATGAAGGTCCACCCTCCCAGGGCCACTCTCACACTAGTGTGGATGCCACTGAAAGCAACTGCCAGCTTCCTTCAAAGAAGGCCCCAATCCCACCACTGCCCCTTGATCCTAATGACATTTGTGACTTAGACGCAGGGTACACAGAGGATGGAGTCCTGGAGAAGCTGAGTTGGGGGATGGAAGCGGCCAGGACAGTGGAAAGGCCATGGCCCCGCAAGCCAGAGTCCAGTGTGGGTCCCACATGTACCTGTCTACTTCTCTGGTCATTCTCTCTCAGTCCATTTCTTCATCCAGAAAGCAGGGGCAGTGAGATTACTGAACCGGAGATACTGTATGTGCCCAGTACGTAAACAATTCTTAGTATGTCATGTTGGCCAAAACCCTGGTTTGTGTTCCAGTTCTCCCACTTGCTTTGTGACCTGAGGTTAAGTTCCTGTGGGTCTGATTTCCTGAACAATCTCTTCTTCCTACAACCAATGGGATGGCATGCACGAGTGCTTTACAAGCTAAGATTATCAGCAACTCTTCTTCATTCAAGCTCCCACAGAGTCCCCCAAAATCTAGGATTACATGAAGTTCTGACAGTATATTGCCCTAATGCTCTTTTTACAAGGTTATATCAGTCAACCCTTCAGCTAACTATATCCATTTGTTACAATCAATAGAGTTCTCTGGGTTTCCCAGTTTCTTCAGCCCACTTTTATGAAGACCAAAACAAAAACCCTAGTCAGAGACAGCGTGAAATGTAACCAAGCTGAGCATTCCTTTCAGAATGAGAACATAAGGTGCATTTACGGCTGGGGTTTCCAGCACTCCAGCCCAGAGCGGACACGCCCAGGCTCAGCGGCAACCTGGCTCCCTCTGCTATCCTGGGAGGAAAAGCTCGCTCTCTGTCAGCCTCACCGACAGCACTGGACCCATTTCCAGTCTCTGGGGGCCCATTTGGTAGCCAAAGAGCTTTCAGTCAAACCCATTCAGGGCATAAAGCCAGAAGACTCCTATAACTGCCTCCAAATGGCTTCCATCTTCTCTTCTTCCCTCCATCATCCTGAATATCCACCAGGTCAGGCTAGTCCTCTAGGTGAGGTTATGGGCCTTATACAAAAACTCTCAATTGCTCTCCATCGCCAGGGGCCCATCTTAAGACCTGTTAGGGTGGCAGAGCCTCAGAAGGTCACCCACATCTTTATGGAAAACTCAAAATGCTTTTTCATTTTGTTTTTGCCTGTGTGTAGTATGAGTATAGGAGTGTTCACGTGTGTGAGGATGTATGCATGTGTATGTGTGCATGCATTAGAGGTCCAAAGTTGACACTTGGATGCTTTCCTCAATCGCTTTCCACTTCTCTCGCCAAACCTGGAGCTCAGCAATTCCAGATAGTTGGCCAGCCAGCTTGCCTAGGATCTGGTCTCTGGGTCCCGAGTGCTAGGAATATGGGCAACTACCGCACCTGCCTGGCTTTGCCCTGAGTTCTGGGAATCTAAACTCTGGTCCTCATGCTTGTGTGGCAGTGTTTTATCCTCTGAGCCATCTCCCCAGCCCTATGTGCGGACATATTTCATTCTAACATTCACACAAGGAACAGTTACCAAGAAGCAGAAAGTATTTTTTAAGTATTCAACAAAATGACTCCCTATGTCCATAAGATAAAAGCTTTGGAGCATCAGTGGCTGCTGATCTTGCTCTTTACTCACTTGGGAAATCTGCTCACCTTTCCTAGAAAACAGTTTTAGAGGTGTGCAAAAATGACTTAATTCTGGTACATTTCTATTGGGTAACCTTCCTTCCCTCTGTGTATACCTTCGTGGTCCATCAGGGGTTCAGCTCCTGAAATGGCAGTATTCCTTGAGAGCAAACTTTGAAAACCACTAGCCTGTGAGGAAAAAGGCCTCCCCAGCCTGTCAGTCAAGGCCGGGTGTCTGCTCTCTGCACTAGCACAGTGTCCTCTTGTCAGGGACAAAGCTACTTCAGGAAGTAGCTGGGCTAGACTCTGAGCATTTCTCCAGAGCCCCACATATCACTGATGAGCCAGATAACACAGCAAGAATGTTCCCCCGAACTACTGCTGAGCACATGGGTGTTGGGGGACAGCCTGGAGCAGGGTTATCACTGGGCCTCATGCTGTCTAAGGGAAGAATCTCTGTCCTCTCTGGGGTTGTCCTACCAAGGAAAACAGACTACTAAACTCCCAGAGGCCATGACAGGCAAACCTGAGGCCCAGGGAGCTAGAGGGAAACAGGAACATGCACATAGGCAGCAAAGCCATTGCTCCCTGCTTCCCCCATTGCTTCCACAGCCCCAGGGCCAAGGCCAGGGGTAATATAAACTGAGTTTCCAATAAAGTAAAGATGAAAGAGGCACCTCAGGCCACATCTTCTGGCATTGAGTTTCCAGTTTGCCCCACCTTTCACAACTTTTTGTGTACACATATTCATAGACATGTACTGTACGTCTGTGTGCATGTGGAAGCTAGAGGTCAGCATCGGGTGTCTTCCTCAATCACTCACCACTATTTTTTGAGACAGGGTCTCTCATTGAGCTTGAAGCTCACCTATTCAGTGAGACTCACTGGTCCGCAAGACCCAGGGATCTGCCTGTCTTCACTTTCCCAGTACTGGGATTAAAGGTGTGCCAGCTTTTTTACAAGGGTGCTGGGGATCCAATCTCAGGTCCTCATGCTTGCGTGGCACTTTACCAAATAAGCCATCTCCCTGGCCATATAACTGACTTTTGGAATTACACTGAAGTGGGCACTCGAGGGACTTTTGAGTTTTATGAAATCCTGCTGGAAAAGACTATCCCAGAACACTACCTCTCCTTTCCACCAGTGTACCCTGCTGATGGCAAGAATCATTCTGTGCTCTTTACCTGAGGTTGATTACTAGTCTCCCTGTCCCTTGAGCAAAAATGAGAGACAATCAGATCCTAGTGAAGTCACCACTTTGAAGCTGGCCTGCCCAGTTTCAAATCCTGGCTCTCGTTTAGAAGCTGTCTGAATTTGGGCAGATACACAATCTGGTAGAAGTTATATTCAGAATCTAACTTATGGATCATTATGAAGACTGCAGGGATATGAATGCTGGCACGCAGCAAGCACTATACAATCAAGGACTGCAGAACACCTGCGACAGCCATCCCTAAGAGCCCGTGGTACTGCTACGGTGCGAAGGTCTGTGGGAAGCTGGTGTAAGCAAATCCACCGCACTGTCAGTCATGAAATATACCCAAGGTGTGGAGTAGGCTAGGCCATCTAGGTTTGTACTCTATGATGACTGCAGAAGGAAACAGACATTTCTGAGAACTTAACCACATTAAGTGGCATGTGACCATGCTAAATGATGTTATGATGATGATGATGGATGATAATGAGGAGGAAGGGGGGGGAGGATGAGTTGTGGCCAGTAAAGGCTGGGTAAGTGAATAGGTGCTTGCAGATGGGGCAGGGCAGCCATAAAAGGAGGGATCAAGTGGGAGAAAGAACCACTAGTTCAACAGAGGCAAGGCGCCACCTGGGGCTCTCCTTGACCCAGCATACCTGTATAGGGGTGTCTCTACAGCCATCACATCTGCCATCTCTCCTGACTCCAACAGGGATAAGAAGTAAATGGAGAGGTCCCTTAACAAATGCCTCAAAAATAGCAAAATATAAGAAAGACTTTCATGAGGTGACTGAAGCCATGTGTGCCCGAGTAATTCAAGTTACGGTTGTCTCTCCTCTGTGCCCCAGTATTTCAACCTGGGCCCTGGGTGCAGTCAGCTGGCCTTGCAGCTCTGACACTCTGGGCCATGATTGCCATGACCTGCAGCCAGCTACCAAATGCCTGTCCTCTTACCTCACTAAAAAAAGGCTAAAATGCCACATGACTTCCAAAAGTGCTTCATAGCAAGTAGCTGACCACACAGGGAGTGGCTGCCCTTCTGCCCCTTGCCTCACCTATCACTGGTCATTTCCTACCTCTCCTTGCTGTGAGCTTGATCCAGGTCATCACCCCGGCTTCATCACCCCGGCTTCTGCAGATGTTTTGGGATGGCAGTTCTACTCACCAGCCACTCCTAGCCCTGTGTTTGCTTACAAGTCTGGCCACAGCCTCATCTGCCTGTCTCAAATCTGCCTTCATTCATTCTAGTTTTGTGCTACTGATAACACACAGGAACCCCAGGGTAGCAGAGCAAGTGACAGAGATATCCATGTGTGGCCCACTTGGAACCTGGCTGCTTTTCTCAACATAAAGGAAGCCAGTGGGAGAGTAAAGGCCAGAGCATTTTCTGAGCAGAATTTGTTTACAATAATATCATACTATCTGTTTCCATAAAAGGTCTCAAAGTAGTCCCTTCCTTCTCCACTTCTCATCCTTTGCAGCCCAAAGACCTATCAACTGGCAAAACCAGAAAAGGAAAACTCAAGATTTAAGTTAAGCCAACAAAACAGGTGGCCAGGCTTCAGTCATGCTGGTTATGGTTTCTGAAGACAGGAACGTCTAGGGAAGTAGCTGAGCTTCTGCAGCTCTGAATCAGCCAATCTAGCCAATCTAGTCCTGTCGTTTGGGATATGCCCCTCAACATTACACCAGCAAGCATCAGATGATGGAATTTTCATGTTTACAGTCTTGCCTAAAACAAAGAACCCTTCATGAACAAGACAGATAAAGAAGAAACAAGTGATTTTTTTTTTGAGACAGGGTCTCACTATGTAGCCCCACCTGGTCTCAAACTCAGAGATCCAGCTGCCTCTGCCCCTGCCTCCCAAGTGCTAGGATTAAGGGTGAATGTCACCACACTCAGCCAGAGGAGAGTTTTCATTCCCTTTCTTCAATTTCCTCTTTAAGAAGCTAGATGTATTTCCAATAGTAATTTTAAAGCTCTGCAAAATATTATTATAGATTTTATTACAGAATTAGAAATTTTCAAAATAATTGTTTGGAACCACAAATGATCAAAAAGGAGTATAATAACTGCTGCACCAAAGGCATTCTGGCTGTTAGACTGTTTTCCTTAAATTATGAATTTCTGATTTTAGCTGAATACTTTGACACTTCCTTTTTAAGACATGACCATGATTTACTTTTTCTTCAATATCTCTGTCATTTCAGGAACTACCTGCAAAATAAAAAAAAAAAAAAACCAGAACAGTAATTAGGCAACTTGAGCCCTTATTGTGACAGGATAACAGCCCTTGGGTTGGACAGAGACCCAAAAGCAAGGTCATCTAGGCCCAGGCACCCCTGCCTCTCCTGCAGTCTCTCCTCCAACCCTGGGAGATCGCAAACCCTCTGAGTTTACCCAGAACACAGGCTGGCAGGGCGAGCCACTGTCTGCCCAGATGCCCTTCTGACACAACCACACATTCAGACATGAAAACAGAAACAGAAGCTCAGTTTTTCTTGCCTAGGCTGAGAAGAGCATGTGCTTTTTACCTCCCTGCTCCCCCCAGCATTCTTCCTGCCCTTACTGTGCTCTGTACTTTCCTTCAAAGCCCGCACACCAACACCCTGTCAGAGCTCTTGTCAACCTTCTCTAGCACCTGCTGTCTCTTCATTCATTCACCCATAATACATTTCATAAACATTTTGTTTGCTTTCTCAGCACGTTATTATCATCTGGCACAGTCAAGTACTGTCCAATCAGTAACACTGCTTTTTATTCAAATCAAGACCTTGTGCCAGTGCTGTGGCTGGTCAGCAGACAGGAAGAAACCACAGCAAGGGGAAATGACTAGGCTGACAAACCATTCTAAAAGAGGATTAGGTGCTGGAGAGATGGCTCAGTGATTAAGAACACTAGTTGTTCTTACAGAAGACCTGGGTTCGAATCCCAGCACCCACATGGCAGGTAACAACTGTCCATAACTCCAGTTCCAGAGGATCTGATGGCCTCTTCTGTCCTCTGCAGGCATTCCACGACACGGGTACACTTACCTACCTGCAGGCAATACACTCATACACATAAAAATAATAAATAAAATATTTAAATAAAATAAAATAAAAGAGGATTACTACTGGCAGCTCGGTGGCTACAACTGGAGTGTCCAGTGTGGAGCTGGTTAGTGACTACTTGACAGCGGGGAGGGCTGTGTGTCGGACTTACAGGGGAATGCCACACAGACATTGAGAGCACTAGCCTGGCCATTTGTATAAAATATCAATTACCTAGTCTTGCAAGGGGCTCTTGGCTACCCTAGCTCACAAAGATCCCAGCTGAACTTGCCACTGATGAATATAGCCTCTCAATTATTTAAGAGAGCTACATTTCCATTAGGTGGAAATAATGTGTTCGTACAAAATTTATTAAGGAAATTGTCGACATGTTGTTTCTTCCGAATGTCACTTTGTCTCCAGCCTATTAAAAGGCCCATGTTTACCATGGAGCCAGCAGGCATTTGCTCAGGGCAGCATTAAGTGCTGGCACCACTTCCCCTGGCTTTCCTTGGTGGAAGGACCATGAGCTCATGCCAGTCACAGAGATGACATGCTACCTGAGCCTCATGTGGTACCAGTGTGTTTCATGAAAAATATGCTATAGCACAACTTCTTCCCCCAGGAGGTCAAAATTAATTTGCTTTAGAATATACAATTAAAAAAAAAAACCTTACAAAATATCCCCTCACCATATTCTCCACCTGAGAGGACTTTTTCTCTCCATAATTTATTAGACTAACCTCAAGACTTTCCAAGGATTCTATATAATCCCTTATTAAGGGAAGGGAAAATGTTAGTCAACAGCCTGGCATACTGAAAGATCTGGACTCTTCTCTTTATTCTTTTAGATGCTGCAGAGGCAGCTCCCTACTCAGGAAGAGCAAACCAGAGGAGACTTAAGTTTAAGAAGACAATCAGCTGAGCATGGTGGTGCATGCCTTTAATCCCAGCACTTGGGAGGCAGAGGCAGATGGATCTCTGTGAGTCTGTGGCCAGCCTGGTCTACATAGTGAGTTTCAGGCCAGCTGGGGATACAGGGAGACCCAGTAGGTATCTAAAACATTTTGACACTTTGTTTGCTTTCTCAGCATGTTATTATCTAAACGTTTGCAGGCAGATAGGACAAGATGAGGCTGGGCCAAGCATGGGTTACAACCTTTAAATGTGGTCAAGGAAATTTATAATTCACTAAACAAACCAATGTGACTGAAATACTCTTTCTCAAGAGAAAGGCGAGCCAGTTACTAGCAGGGTGAGAACACTCACAGTGAAGAGTATCAGAAGTGGAGAAAGGGAGTTTTCCTGAAACCTGGCACATGAGGAAGGTCTTAACTTTCAAACTCAGTAAACAGAACACTTGTTGAGCCAGATGAGCTCAAGTGCCACCCCTTCCCCTGTAGAGGCCTCATATCTAGCAGTCCCTAAGGAGGGAGCCTGATGCTCATTTCTTTAGTGGATCTGCCAAATGTGGTCTGCTACGCCACACCATATGCTGACTTAGTACCTGAGATGCCAAGAGATGTGTTGATATTTTACAGACAATCTGGCCTCCTTCGAAAGAAGAAAGTTATGCTGTTCTATAGTAAAATCACAAATCTGTTAGGGAAACGTAATTTTAAGTAGGACAAAATTATGTAATCTATTAATAGCATGGATATAGACACACAAACATACCACAATGTCTAATCATTTCCTACTTGGCAAAATCCAAGAAGTTCTTGGAAGACAATGTCTGTAAGAGCTGCCCTCTCCAGACCAGTTTACCTTGAATAAATCTGCAACTATTCCATAATCTGCCACTTGGAAAATTGGAGCTTCTGGATCTTTGTTAATAGCCACAATTGTCTGTAAGATAAAAAACACACAGTTGGAATTCTATCAAGAAAACACCACATTGATTGATGGTTCTATTTTAACTCTCCTCTATGACATATTCATATTATTATTTTTATTTTATGTGTATGCATGTATTGCCTGCATGTAGATAAGTGCACCTATGTCATGCAATGCTACAGAGGTCAGATGAGGGTTTCAGATCCCCTGGAACTGGAGTTAAGGATGCCATGTGGGTGCTGAGAATCAAACCTGGGTCCTCTGCAACAGCAGTTAGTGCTCTTAACCTATGAGCCATCTCTCCAGCCCCAACATATTTATATTATTAAAATATCTGTCAAGACTAATTTGAAGCTTCTATGCCAACATTAGAAGGTTATAGGCTGTGATGTAGTAAAATATCTACAACTCACCACTAGTCCATCTCAGTATTAAAGAAGCTTAAAAATATCTCTCTGCCTCCCCCAACCATCTTTAGTCAGAGTCTCCCTGCAGACCAGACTGGCCTGGAACTCACAGGGATTTGCCTGCCTCTGCCTCCCAAATGCTGGAACTAAAGGTGTATGCTATCATGCCTGGCTAAAAATTATTCTCTTAAAAGTTTCCTTAAGGAAAAAAAAAGTTTTATTTTAAATAAAATAACAAATCTACACCCAAAATCACATTTGTGAACTTTTGTGTCCGATATACTCAACTTCATTTGTTACTCTATAATTACCATCCTGGGTCTGTGGTGAGTATATAAAAGCTAACTATCTTGCCAACGTGATATTAAAGGGGAACTTAAAACAAAAATGTTTTTTTGGTCTTTTGAGACAGAGTCTCCCTGTAGCCCCAGATGACCTGAAACTCACTCTGTAGACCAGGCTGGCCTCGAACTCACAGATATCTGCCTGCCTCTGTCTCCCAAGTGCTGGGATTAAAGGCATGTACCACCATGCCTGGCTTGGAAACTTAAAATTTTTTAAGAGCCCTTATGTATGCAGCAAATGCATGCATTAATAAAGCAAACAAGTTACTAAGTCACTTGTAAGAATTAATAATGATTACTCTTACCTCCTACAAAAACATTCATAAATATGAACGGTTGTGGCAGATCACTGATAGAATAAGGAGAAATGGTTTGGTATTTCCTATAGATGCTTCTAACACAACTGCAATCAAAGTAAAGCTAGAGTTGTGACTCAAATGTGGTATTGTTTTAATAGACAGATTATAATCATTCAGTTCTCTAGAGGTAAAGTTAAATATCTAACTACTTATCACTGAACCTTGAGAAACCCACCGGTATTCTTTTGATATAGTCTGACCTAAAATACACGCTGTGGGACAAGTATCTAATTTCCCTGGGTGGGCTTCACAAAGGAATGGGCAGAACACACCAGAATATCTGAGACTAGAGTCAGTGTAGCCTTGACAACAGCCAATCCAGAGACAATTCACGAATTTCAAATGTGAGCCTCAAACCCAAAATCACAGGGACAAACACTCTAAGGCACAGGCCCTGGTTTTCTGAGGTGTTTCTCCTCTGGGAATGTGTAGCCTGCTTCACAGCTAGAAGCAGAGATTTATTTAATTGATGATGGTTAACGATTCTCCTGGATGCCACCTAGTCAAATATTTGACAGTTTAATCATCTGAAAGCTTTTTCATACCAGTACATAAAAGTTACTTTAAAAGTAAAAGTACGTAACTATGGGCAAGGAACCATTATGATATTTAAAAAAAAAAAAGATGTGGGATGATTACAGTTTTCTGGATTACTAAAATAACATTCTTAAATTATCAGCTGTAAAACAACTATGATAAAGTCTTGCTTACACTCAATAGCTTCTTGTAAATTCAAACTCTCATAACTTTTAAAAATACACTCGTTATACTCAATCATACTATAATGTATGTAGTTCAAAAAGTTTTCAGTATATTGGCTCATTTGATGTAATAATCAAATCTTATATTCAACTATGCCATCAGGAAAATTGAAACAGCAGGTCAAGGACAATGTAATTATCAGATTTAAGCCATTCTAATATCCCTTTTTAGACTTTATCCAAATCTATAAATAGAAATTACTTGCTGCCTCTTCCTCCTCCTCCTTTCTTTGAGTCAAGGTCTCACTCTGTAGCCTAGGCTAGCCTTGAACTCACAATCTTCCTACCTTAGCTTCCCTAGTGGTGGGATTGAAGGTATACACTATCACACCAGGATTATCTTTGTTTTATTTAACCATCTCTAGCACCTCAGTAAAAGGAACATAGTAAATAAATATTTGTTGATGGGGAGAGAGATGTCTTGGTTGAAGTTTATTCTCGTGGATCGCCCCCCAACTCTGGACTCCTGATTTCAACTGCCCTTTTAAGTCTTCTGGTATTGAAGAGGTCTCTTTTTTTAAAATGCATAAATCACATTTTCCCCATTGGCACTGCTGCTTTCACAGCTCAGTAAAGAAATCTGCCAGCCAACTGTGAAATCTGACTGGGTTTGAACCAATTCACTTAAAAGCTATAGAGAGGCAGTGCATGAATTTCTCCAAGTTAGAGGTTAAGCCTGTTAAAAGTTTTATTATGTTTTAGATCCAGCTTCCATGTGAATGGATAAATGCATGGTGTCAGAGGCATCTCCACCTTCATGAAAGATAAGTTCATAATTCAAACTGTACATTATTATGCATGAGTTAATGTGTCATATTCTGAAATATATGTTCAGAGTCATTACACAGGACTTCCAGATGTAGTCCAAGTACTAAGTTAAAATCAAGTGTTTTGTCTATACAGTGCACTTTCCACAATTAATGAGGTATTAAGATTGCCTGATACTCCAACTCAAAATGTGTCAGTTACACATTACTAACAACCCAGGAAAGGGGCCCAGCTGGCATATGAAGGTGAATCTGCCAGGGCACCAGAGAAGGGAAGACAGAGAATCAAGGACCAGAATCTCATCGAGTTGCTTAAGCCTCACACTGTCTATTACAGATGATCAGAGCTGAAGGGGACACTAGTGACTATCTAACATCCACACTGGGCAGACAAAGATACTGAGGTATAGCAGGCAGAACCCATCATGCAGTAAGTGCAGCTCAGGTTCTTCCTCCCAACAGTACATCTCAAGCAGGAACAGAAGCTTCAGTTTCTCAGCTCCCAGACTTATGCTAACACAAAAGATTCAACTACACACACTATAACTACATGTGTAGAAATGTGAGCTTTTTCCTCTTAGCATCCTAATTACTGCATATAATTACCTTGCTGTCCTTCATTCCAGCTAAATGTTGGATGGCTCCAGATATTCCAACGGCAATATAAAGTTCCTAAAACAAGAGATCACACTATTAATATGTATTTGTATTATATAACACTGGGGTTTTTGTTGTTGCTGTTGTTGTTGTTTTAAGGCAGAGTTTCAGAGTTTCTATGTTTTATCACACACCCGGTGCTGGAATTGAACCCAGGGCTCTGTGCATGCTAGACTAACACTCTATGAACTGCCCTACATCTCTAGCCCAATATAATACTTTCAAAGTGTATGCCATTAGCAATTTAAGCCTTAAGACAAAAGATATGTTAAATGAAACATCCAACATGTATCACTTAAATTATCCCTCTTCCCCAATTTTCTTACCCCAGGTGTCTTTTTCCAATGAGTTTCTATAGTAGTGGTGGTAGAGTAATACATTCATGGGTACATACTAAACATTTACAATGCACTTAGCACTGTGTTAAGCATCGTACAGCAACTGTCTCAATCTCACAGTTAGTTTCACAATTACCTATGACATAGCACTATGTGTGTAGTACTCATTTAGATATGACTGTGCAACTCATAATGCTTTGTCTACCCGTTCACAGAATGTACATATTGCATATTAATGTATCAATGCACATTCATACATGCTAACATAAGATTTTTTGCTTGTTCACCTCACAAGAGGATATTTATGAAAATGGTGATTAGGATATATCTATTAAATTTCATATTCTAAAAGATTAGAAATGCAAATTAGTGTCAAGAGGTTCTAAGCATACATGTGTGCACACACAGACAGATGGACAAATGGATGGGCACACATACATACACACACACACAGACACATCTGGATGAATAAAAAATAACAAACTTCTTGAAAGCATGGGCTGGAAACTTCTGGCACCTGACAAAAGGACTCCCATATGGGAATTTCTCAGTGATAGGGACAACATCTACACCTTTTCCTGCCCCTCTACCCTCCAATAATTAGAAGGGAATCATAGGCAACTATTGTTTTATCCCCTTATCTAAAAACTTTTAAATATTTATTTAGGTTTGAAAAATAAAACTCACTACTATCATGGAAGCATGATTTAACAAGTGCTTAATTACAAGAGCTTAACTGCTCCATTCTGTCTACTAGGGATGATAATTAAAGCTTCAACTGAAAACATTTTCCCACCCATAAACTGGCATGTCCTGGCTTGGGTGGAAGGGTATCTACCATGTAAGCCACCATGGCTTTGTCACTACTCTCAGTTGAGTAACATGGGGAAGCACTGGAGGCGGTTCTGTCATGCTCGCTTTTATTACAGCTTTTATTACAGCACGAGACACTTCAAAGCCACTGGCAGTGTCAGGTGGTCTACCTTTGTTTTCACTATTGCTGATGATCTAATTTAACAACTGCTCACACTCCATTAGAGAACATTTCAGCTAGGATCTAGGAATAACATGGTCTCTCAGTGGTAGGATTTTTCATAAAATCTAGGTGTGCATGGATACACATAGGCCAACTTTCTGCTTGGGGCCTCAGTGCTAGTGCTGCTGCTTTTCCAGAAGCCCCTGGATGCTCTGCAGAGGAGCCAGAGCTGAGTACCATTAGAAGAAAAGATCCTTCAACTCTTACATGGCACAAATCTGGCAGCTCCCCCACCCCCCAGCACACTGGTGGCATCACCCTGAGCTGAGCCTTGTCTTTAAAGTGTCCACCTGCTTCCAGAGCAGCAGGGTACCTCCATGTAACCGGGAAGCAATCCTCACAGTGATTAATCAAGTTAAAATGAGCTGAGCTTGTTTTCTGAGTCAGCTGTTCTTTTCTTGCCCCATGTTATTCACATAGGAAACCTTATTATCAGCTGTGGGGGGAAAATAAAAAACAAAAAATGTAATGTCAGTGTGACAAAAGTAGGTACACTCCTAGCCTCAAAAGCCTGAAGACAGTAAGAGCAAGCCGCCTTAAAGGGACTGTGTCTTGGGGTAGAGAAGTCTACTACACAAAATGAAATTATGGGTGAAGATATACAAGTAATACGTGTTCGGGTTCTGTCCAGTACATCCAGTGCATTGATTACAAGCACGTACAGCTGGACAACAGGCCCTGTCTTTATATGGCCTCATCAGACATGGACACGCACTTAGGTGATAAGATTCTTTTCTTGAATACGTACTACTATTTTCTATTTGAAATTTATAGGTAAATTCAATAGACAATTTTAAGATCATTTCAATTTATTCTGATTAGCGTTTCATTCATAGAGGGGCAGTCACTGAACAGTCAATCAAAATATACTTAGGAGGGTTGGAGAGATGGCTCGTGGATAAAGCATATGCTGGGCAATTGTGAGGACCAAGTTAGGTACGGTAGCTATCAGTAATCCCAGCACTCAGAGGACAAAGATAGGTGAGCCCCAGAACAAAGAGGCTAGACTAGCCATGTCAGAGAGTTCTGGGTTCAGTTGTTACCCTGCTTCAAAGAATAAGGTGGAAAGAGATTAAGGAAGACTCTCAACCTCAAGTCTACACATACGCACACAATCAGGCATGCACACATATGCAGGGGCACATACTATACACACACTAAAAATACGTACATATCTATATTTATATTTATAAAATCTCACATTCAAGAAAAACAGGTCAATAGATTTCAATAGAATGATTTTGTTTTGCTTTAAGACAGGGTCTGCTACAATTCAAGATGGTCCTATACTTCTGATCCTCCAGCTTCCATGTCCCAAGTACTGAGATTAAAGTATGTGTGACCACACCCAGCTAATGTAATGCTTTTTAAAGCAAATTAGACCGGGGGGGGGGACCCACTCTTCCTGATCACTGTTCTAGGTAAATTCTCCAAGCATGCATTGGAAAAGATCAATAGTCATATAATGAGTCTTTCTGACATACATGTCTACATTAAAATTCAACAAGTCTTAAAAGCTCCATTTGTACCATGAGATGCTAATAAAAAATGTTAGTTGACTCTGGCAGTAAATATAAGCATAATATAAGTAAGTCTATTTCAAACTTTCTGCCCCTTCCAAATGAATTCCACTGCCTTTTACCATAAAAGTACCAAGGAGGCAATAGATTCCCAGCCAAAGCCAACCAAAGGTAGGTGCTTTACGCCATGTCTCCTTTCTGAAGAGTATCAACAGCCCAATAGCTCCACCTGACCAATGGGACTTCATTTTGCTGTCTTGAAACATGGCTCTCTGAACAAAAATGAAAGCACTGAAATAAGACCTCAGGAAGAGCCAGGGATTTGGGCTGCTGTGCTGGGGCCTTATGGCTCTCCAGTAGGAAGAGAAGCTTTCTTCTTCCTTTTAAAAAACACGTTCAGGCAATTAGATTAATATCTTAGGATACTTCTCCAGGCTTCAGAAAGCACTTCTGTATTTCAATAATAATAATTAGTAGGTACAAAACTCTACAAACACTAATTCATAGAGCACTTCAGATACTGCTCCACCACAGGGCAATCCCTGCCCCAAGGCACTTTCCTTCTAAATCAGTAAATAACTGGGAGAGAAAGAGAGAAGATGTCAGAAGGGAGGACAGCAACTAAATGTTCAAAAAGAGGTGGGATTAAAGATAGAAACCGACTCTGAAAGGAGGGGGCATTTTGAAGCTAATCCTAGGAGCTTTAGTGAGGTCGGGAAGAGAGAGAGAGGAGGGAGGAGGAGAGCAGAGGGAGAAAGGCAGGCGGAGGAGGGGAAGATGAGCCTGAACATAAAAACAGACTCACCACATGGTTGGTAGCATATGGATTGGTCTCTCTTTGGGGAAGAAGGGAAGCCACAGGATGGGAGGTGGACCAAAGGTTACAGCGATGTGGAGGCAGGATGGCACTAACTTTAGCACAGAGAAACATGGGCCAAAGAAAACACTAATTGTTTTTCCTTTGCCAAATGCTAAAGAAACACTATAGCTATGGATTCCTTCAAAGAACTCAGGACTGGTATCTCACAGTGGACTGTGATCCAAACACCAAGACTTGGATGCTGCTTACAGGTCTGCAGAGCACAATACTGCAAAGGTTAAGAAGCCAGGCTGCTCAGCATTCCCACCTCATGACCAATTGCTTAACCCCTCTATGCCCTGTTACTTGCTCATCTGAAAAACAAGGATCATAATTCCTACTTCTCAGGATTATTGGTGAGGCTTCAGCATAGTATCTAGTTTCCCAAGACACTGACAGTCATCATTTGAAATTTGTTCAAACCTTGATTCTATAATCCCACCCTACTAGTGATTTTGGTGGGGCGTCCTAGGTGATCTCAAGACTACTTTTTACTACTGAGCAAATTATATACTGAGCAACTCTGAAGGGAGGCAGCATTCAGGTCTGTCACCATTCATCTATATTTTTATTATAATAACTTTCCAACAGATGGCAGCACAGGAACTTGAGAAAAGGGAACTTGATATTTCAAAGGCATCAAATGGACAAGAACTGCTAGGCAGTCAGAATCCTCTGTGATACAAACAATGTAATTTAAAAAATATATATTTTATTTATTATTTTTATTTTATGTGCATGTTTGTATTGTCTGCATGTAGGTAAGTGCACCCATGTCATGTGGTATCCTCGGAGGACAGAAGAGGCTGTTGGATCCCCTGGAACTGGAATTATGGATAGTTGTTAGCTGCCATGTGGGTGCTGGGATTCGAACCCAGATCTTCTGCAAGAACAATCAGTATTCTTAACCTCAGAGCCATCTCTCCAGCCCCCAAACAATGAAATTTTTATGTGTACCAGTGAACAGGAAAAATACAATGTAATGGTTAGATAATTGTTTTTCTACTTTGTGTGTGTGTGTGTGTGCACGCGCGTGTGCATGCGTCAGAAGTCAGAAGTCAACGCTGAGTGTTTTCCTCAATCATTCTCTACTTTGTGTTCTGAGACAGGGTCTCTCACTGAATCTGGAGCTCATCACTTTGGCTATGGCTGACTGGCCAGCAAGCCCCAGGGGTCCTCCTGGCTCTGTGTCCCCAGCACTAGGATTATGGGCATGCAATGCCCCACGCAGCTTCTTTGTTTATAAATATATTTTTAAGAAC